AAACAGGGAGAATATTGAAATGTAGCAATGGCATTAAATTTAAATAAATATTATAAAGTGGCTTATTATAAATAATAAGGCTTAAAAGTTTAACAACATAATGTGTCTTAATAAAACTTCATAATAGTCCTTAAATAAGTATATTTTTTAATTATGAAATATTTACATTTTAAAAATTATACTTATATAGATTGGAAATAATTTTATTTTAGAATGGAGTTTTTTTGGCATTTGCTTTTTTTTTTAATTTATATATTATTGATTATATTTATTACTTTATATATTATTGATTATATTTATTACTTTATATATATTAATAAAAATTTAAATTATATTATTTATAAATCAAATAATCTATAGCATTTAACAATACAAACCAGATTAAAGCTTAGTCTGGCAAATCGGAATATATTTAAGATTCGATCATAATCTCTGGTAACATTATTTTTTGAGATTTTTATTATATTAGCAGTTAGTTTTTTTATTATTTGTATTGTATGATTCTAGTGGTGTAATAAGATTTTATTGCGAAATATATTTTTTATTACTGGTAGTTAAAAAAAAATGTTTAAAATTTTAAAATTATATATTTAAATAATTTTTACAAATTGTAGCTAAAGTTTGTGAAGTTTTAATAGAAATCTATTCTTACATATACTAAGTTAACTGGAAGTAAATTTTATAGCTACTTTTATAATTCCTAAAATACCTAATAAAAATTAACAAAGTGATGATAATTTGATTAAGTTTGTAAGTTTGATACGTATACAAAAATAGGCTGCCTTTGATTTCTCTTATACAGTAGTTTAGTTTTATATATATATGCCTCTGCTGAAGTCAATGACCTAAATAATATTATTTTATATAATCATACGACTTTTTAGTCACAGGCCATTATCCATATTAAATAAATACAACCGCTAATAATGATAAAAAATATCTTTTTTTTTACCCTGATTACTATATATATCGATATTAAAAGATATTCGTGATGACAAATTACTCGTGACGGATCATAAAGATCACATAAGTCATTTAAGATCATCGGCTGACTAGTCGAGATTGAGCTATTCATTAACGCGAGAAATATGTGACATGCATATAGTATGGGTTTTCAGTGGCGACACTGAAATAAATTTATAGTTTACTTAGAAGGAAGAAGTGCGTAGATAATGTGCGCTAAATTGTTGTTACATTTGGGGCACCTGCAAAAATTTTATAATAATTTTATATATTGGGCCGTTATATTTAAAAGATATTTATTCTTATTTGCTGATATATTTAACTGATTTAAGTGAAAATAGTTGAGGCATACAAGCCCTTACAGTAGGGAGCTCTATAATTCAGTCATTGAATAATTCAAGGTATATTATATACTGTATGTGCAATAAATTGATTCTGGTTTGGTTTTTTGTTTATTTCATCATATTACATTTCTTGAAATATCAAACGTATCTCTAATTTATAATATAAATTAAGGCTTCACCACATGAAAAACATGGAGATTAGTGATCGACAATGTTTAAACATTCCAATGGACCAGTCAGCAAGCAATACGACTACATAAATTAAAACGTTATGCAAAAGATACGGGAGATGAGTTGCAAATCGTTGACACACCTAAACTAAAAAAAAAAAAAAAAAAAGAAATATTTAAGGAACAAGGCTTGTTGTTATTTGGTATCCTATTTACAAATAATATAGCCAATTTTGCACCGCCTTTCCTAAGAATCTAATTACAAACAATGCGTCGAATATTAATTCCTTAGCTATTCATTCCCAAGAGATCAAAACAAATTTATTACAAATGCCACGATCCATTTTGTAATTGCTCAAATTTTTGCTTTCGAATAAGCCCAATTCAATTTTGTCATAAAACAACAATGATTTTTGGTAACAAGAACGCCTTTTCTTATTTTTCAGTATATAATATATGTGGCTATGTCAACCTCACCAAATTTCCCGCACAATGGGTATGTATTTAGAAAAAATGTAGGTTTTAATTACGTGACCTTAACTAATGTTTGCTTATTAAGATAAAGATCATTGGTTAAACAGGAATTATAACGGGAGTGACGTTACTATGTAACAGAAAAAGATCTACGTATATAAATCTCAGCCGTGCATATTGACCTATTTTTTTTGTTTGCATAATTTCTTAAATTTTTGAAATTTATATTCTCGAGTGCATTTGTTGCATTTGTTGCATTTATGTACAAAGCTTTTAAATAAATAAATTATAATTTTAATTAAACCATTTAATTGCTTTGTGACTTTTCCTTTTTGTTTATGTTTCTTTATTAAATTTTCGTCGCAACTCTTAAAATTGAACAAAAAATAATGGGTCGGAAAGGTTTCAAAGATAACGATGATGGTTTTAACGTGTAGGTTATCTAAGATTTTTTCAAATAAAGTAAATTTTTTTTCTAAATTTTAATAAAAATTTCCACTAAAGTCAGGAGGAAACTTCGGATTCTGTTATTGGAACTGATGCAACAGATGAAAAAGGCCGATTGATTGATGAAATTCATGACGTGAAAGTTGTTGATGATAAAGAAATTGCTCTTGTTCTTTGTAAGAGCTTAATATAATAATAATAATTATTATTGATTTAATTTTTCATTAAATATCTCCTTTAATTTGACTCATTTTTTTCTTTTCGAATTTCTTTATTCATATGAATAAATTAAGACAAAAATGATTATACTTATTGTTGGATTCCTGTTCAAAATTTAAGAAATGCTGATGTTTTACTACAAGCACATAGAAAACAAATACAAGCCTGGAATAAACGTGGGGTGAATAGAACATCTCAAGAGGTTACATTTATCCTTACCAGCTAAAATTCATCAATCACTTTTTTTAATATATTTGTGGTTATAGAAACATGTAGATCAAGGAATGCAAGAACCTGGTTTAAATAATGAAAATTTCACTAAAGAACCTATTGTAAATCATCCGCATCAATCATCCGAGTCTCCTGAAATTTGTTCAAGCAATCAATCTGTCGATAAAACTGAAAAGTCAAAAGGCAAGAAACGTGCTCGAGATGATGATGAATCACAACAAAATATTATAAAGAGACGTGTTGGGCGTCCAAAGAAAAGTGCCGTTACTAAAAAGGGCAAAGTTAAAAGACCTGTGGGAAGACCAAAAAAGACATTAACTCCCCGTGAAGCTTTATTAAAAGATAATAAACCGAAAGAACGAGCTGGAAGAAGGAAGAAAAAGTCCTCTGACACTGAATCTGATCCATGGGAAGCTGCTAAAGCTCATAGTGAAGAAGATTTTCTTGAAGACGAGAATGATGATGATGATGATTATGTTGTGCAAGAAACCATCAGTATGTTAATATTAAGTTTCTTATTTAACAAATTTATTCGAAAAATATATTAAAGAGTCATGTCAATTTTCTTTTCAGTATCTTCAAGTTCAAACTTTGATCATGTACCATCGCCTGATCGTGTTCCATCGGCAGATAAATCAGCCAATGAAGATTCCGATGGTTATGATTTATGGGATATACCTGCAACACCAGAACCTCTTCGTGACGTTCTATCGGGTAAAAGCACGAACGCTGAAGACGTACACACCGGTATTTATATTAATCTTCTTAAATTTATGTTTGAAATTATCGCTCTTTTATATAATTATCATTTTGACAAATAAAAATATTTAAAAGAAATAGAATATTCAGATGATGGTCATGAGAATGATCACGATCCATGGACTATGTGGAACCATGAGCCCGGTATAATTTTAATATCACAATTTTGTTATTTGCGAATAATCCTTTAATATAAATTTAAACTTAATGTATTTACTCTAGATACTATTGAAAATGTACCGGAGCCAACTCCTTCTGAGAAAAAAAGCGTGAAAAAATCACCTACAAGTGCTACCACTTTACAACCAATGGCTGATAAATTTTCTGACTTGTCAGTTTCTACCGAAACTACTTACACACAAAATACAGCATTTAATCCAACAAAATCAAATCCAGGTTATCTGGACGAAAGCAAACAGTAAGTGATCAACTAAATGCATCAAGTATGTTACTTTTATTTTTTATATTGTCCAATGAATTATTATTAATATCTTCTAGGCAAGTGGAAATGAAAAAAGAAGACGATTATTGGAAATGTAATGAATCACATTCTACACAAGATTATATGACTACATATTCTCACGATTATAAAAAAAAAGACGAACGACAACACGATCTTATAATAAATGCTTCGGCACCATTATCTTCGTCTAGTGAACCTTTTGATACTTCTCCAACCACTCCACAATTTAACAAAAGACGACAAGACTCGTTTGGATCTTCTCGGGAAGGAATGGCTTCTACTACATATCCATTATATGCTTCACCTTATCATCAATACCCATCACATAATTCACATCCACAATATGGAATTTATGGTTCACGAGCATCGGATTATTCATCTTCACAACAGTCAATTGGTTCATCTCAGATTATAAGCACAGCAGGTCGTATTTCAAATGATGATGAAATGAATGCTCAGAAAATAATTAAAACTGAATCTATTGATGAACAACTATCAACATATTGGACTGGCTCTTTAGTTAAAGGACAATTGGCTCAATATATTGGGCGGGTCATAGTTAAACCTTTGAAAGATAGATGCGATAACGTTGATTATATGTAAGTTATTTCCTTTATGCTTCATTTTTAACATCCTTTAAATTCTTTTACCTTTTTTTTTACCATTTTTTAACATCTTTTAATTAATAAATTTATCAATTTCAGAGGTACTATCATGAGTCAACCTCAATTATGGATGAGAAATATGTTACCACAACCATATGCGGAGAGATTGGTAGATCCTAAAGATTCAATTAAATATCCAATGTTTTTAATGGATTTTATTGATGATGGAAATGATAACACACGGAAGGCAATAGAAGCTGACCTTTTAGGAATGAAATGGAATGAAATTGTAAATCATTTTCTTATCATATTTATTTTATACAAGATACCGTTTATTATTCTGACTTTTTTTATTTATTTTGTATAGGTGGGCATTATTTGGCTTAATGATTCTTCAAATTTGTGTTGGCTAGTTTTCCCAAATTCTCAACGAACTTCCACTCAACTAAGAATTGTGCCCCGTCCTATAGAAAAATTTATAATTATTCCAAAAACTATATACATAGATGAAAACACGCCATTTGGTTATATTGAAAGTATTAAACAATCTGACCCACAAACAGTGGCCATTACTCAAAATCCTATAATCCAAGATCGACTTACAGATGACTTATATTACGCAACTCAAGTATCAATACTATCAAATAACTATTATGCTTTACCAGAATTATGTAGAAATAATCCATATTTTGGAGTATTTGGTTCAAAAGAAAAATTTGAAGTTAGAGAAATTATTGAAGCTGTTAAATTTTTTGGTGGATTACATGATCCAGAATTTAAAAGGCCAGATTTGAATCTTATATTAGTATGTTCTAATTTAACCTATTTTCATTTTTAATTTATTTTTTTATATACCCTATTCTAATTAATACTAATAATAATACAGATTCATGTTAATTACTTGAACCAAATCAACTTTATACCACGATTAATTGAACTTAAACATAAACAGGATTGTAAATTTCATATATTTGGGTGTGATTTATATTCACCTGATCCTGTTAATCTTGTTGAATGTTTTTCCTCTGGTACGTATAATTTAAATTTATAATATTATAATATTTAATAGATCATGAAATAGTTTTGGGCTATATTATGGTTAAAAATGTTGACAATGTATTATATTTAAAGGTGGAATTGTTACGGTAACGCCACAGGTTTTTTTGTCAGGACGTTATAATGATATTATTCAAAGGGTCATGGATGTCTGCAATAAGGTTCTATTTTTATTGATTTCTTGAGACATTGCTCTACAACTTATTTTAATCTAAGTTTTATTTAATTATTTAATTATAGCAACTTATAGAAAAAAATTGGAAATGGACTATAAAACTATATTCAGAAATTGGCACAATGCTCGATGCTATGTGTACCGAACAGGAATATAAGTATGAATTTTATACTTATATTTCAAATTTTAGAATCGATATATATATATTAATTAATGTATGACGTTCGTTATTTATAATTAGAGCATATTTTACATATACAAGATTTAAGAATCATATGGAATGCCAACACTTTGAATTGTTCAACGATGAGGAAGTTAAATGTATTGAAGTAATTATTATTTACTTTTAAGAAATTATAAAAAATTTAAGCTATAAACTTTAACTAAAACAATTAAACTTTTCTCTGCATTAGAAACTTCAAAAACAAGATCCACCGATGGTGAAAATCTTATATTATATAATGACTAGAATACATAATTCACATCTGACAGAATTTAGGCATGTCATCTTGATTCAAGACGATACTGAAGTAGAATTGGGAGTTGCTGATGTTCCTGGAGTAAGTTTATTTTTATAATACTTAATATGGTACTAGTTATCACTATCATTTATTAAATTATGAATACTATTATTATATAGGTTGAAAGGATGTTATTAACAGATTTTGAATCAATATTTGGATGCAGTGAATCCGTCTAAAAGGAATCATGACCTGGTTGATGAGCTTGTGGTGTGGTACCTTTCGCATATTGCATATACAAAGTTAGAATGTTGTCATATAAGAATTTTAATAATAATTAGGCATGCCCCAATGTCTTTGCTCGATTCAATTTCTATATAAAGGATCTTTGAAGTATATGAAATTATATAGAAATATTTTTGGATGTTTTATTTAATTTTATTTTTTATAATCAGGAATTGAACCGCCTAAAAATTTTTTTAACAATTGTTTAACCGCGTCTAGCCGTTTAGCTCAACTGGCTTTGATAAAAAATTTTGGGTTAATGACTAACAACATTCTGTCTAAACTACGAAGCAAATTTTTATACGGTTAATCTAAATCTGTAATGTGAAGTTACCATACGTAAGAATAATTAACGATGGTATTGATATGTAAAATGATGAATGAACGAGATAATGCAATGTGTCTTAGTGGATGATGTGAGAAATGAACTAGGAAAATCACCATTGAGAGAGGTTTTGAATTAAATTATATTAGCTCTTAAGACCCGGTCCTTGACCGGGTTTGAGTTTCTAATTTTTTGCTAATTCTTAGACCTTAATAATATTAGCTTTTAAATTATATTAATTTTAATTAGAATCAAAAATCTCATAATTGGTTAGTAAATGCTGGACGGTGGTTTTCTTGTCTCTTCACTCCCTTCACGTATAGAACAATTAATTGAAAAATAAAATACTAAAGTAAAAAAAAAAAACCCATATTTTCGCGTAACAACGCCCATCTGCGCGTTATTTTGAGTAGATATGCGTTAAGTATGATGTTTATGTAAACAAACATGCGCATTATTTCGGACGCGCATGGGCGTTATTTTCAGGTGATACGATTTTAGAAATAACGCCTATGGGGACGAAGATGCAGTGAATATTGAAATATAAGGAGATTTAAATAATAAACCCGAAATATATCTGAGTGCTACAAAAAGAAGAGATTTCGGACTTTCAAGTTTATCATTATTTGTTTGGTTCGGCTCATGAAAAATCTGATCGGTGATAGGTATCAAGTTTTCAAGAAAGAAATAAATGATAAAATTGAAAGCCGAAGCCTCATTTTCCCTTAGCAGCACTCATTATAGTTCATTATCTTAACATGCAAAACATATTGAAATGCAAAGAGGACTTCTACAAATTTTATATCTAAAGACTAAGCTTTCACAAAATGTTTATTATCGTCTTTTTAAAGCATTACAAGTCACTCTCGTTATAGTGAACCTTCGATATAGTGAAGATTGGCTTATAGTGAAGAATTTTTTTAGAACAGAATCATTATTAATAAATTTTCGCTCTGTATAAGTAGCAAACTTTCAATATAAGATATATTGGCTGTTATGTCAGATGATTTTCATTATCTGTATCTATATTAATATTAATATCTACTTCTAACCTTGCGGTTTATATAATTACATATGCACGTATAAATTCACTTATGATATTATCATTTGTCTCTCATATTTTATTTATTTTTTCTTTCGATTATTATAATAATTTACGCACTTATTTCCTAAATATATTTTATATGTTTTCAATATATAAAATTTTTGTGTAACACTAATGCATAAATAGAAGATAGTGAAGATTTTTATATCAAAAATATCTTATATGAGTGCTGCCAAGGAACCAACCTAGCGTCACCCAAAAAATCAGTTACGTATCGGGATTTAAAAAATTAAACATCGGATCGGTACACAGATAATAATCAATTGCAACTATTGACCGTTGCAAATTTTTTAATATATGGGGTTTTTGTCTTGAAAATGACCCTACGGCATTAGAAATTTTTTTTGAGTAAACAACGATTAAAAGTTGTGTAACCAAACAACCCAAATTTGATTTGTCGCTAATTTTAGATATGCTGATCGTCGATCTTTGCAGATTTTAGGGGTACTTTGAGGCCAGGGCATAGATCAACCAATCAAAATTATGAATTTCGATTAGACTAATTCTATAATTCCAGAATTCGAGAAAATAATTTTATTTATCTTTTTGCTCTTGCAATATATAAAATTTAAGCAACTACAAATGTCGAATTGCAGATGTTTGCTTATTAAAAATTAATTAAAATCTATACAACACTTGTTAATAGTAAAGAATTTTAAGTTACGGAATTATTAAATAAGGTAGCTGCGCGACGCTGTCACGTGAAACTAGGAACGTAAGCTTATTGAATTATTCGAATAGATCATTTAGGGATAAACAATTTTTTTTTTGTTTTACTAAACAGATAGAAATTTATACGTATATAAGTTTGCTGTAAATTTATTATTTGATTAGTGATATCATGTTATTTGGTTTTTTTGTTTTTACATTTTATTTAGAAGGTTTAATCATGTTGATATTAGCATTGTCTCGCAGTTATTGCTGAGGTCGAATAGAAGTTGATATTATTTTATATTCAGATTTTTCTTTGTTAAATGAGTCGAAAAAAATTATTCAACACTATACTTTTTTTTTTTTTTTTTTTGGGAGCTATACCGGCAGTTAATTTAGGCTGAGTGATTTTTTATTAAGAAATTAACAAAGTACATGATAGAGAAGTGAGCAATTGGCCAAGTTGGCCAGAACAGCAAAGACTATCCGCGAAAGGAGCAATCGTGATTGTACTGGGAGTCACCGTAGAGCAGTCGGTAGTTTCCCGCTCACTGAAGCAAGCCGGCTGTGAGTGAAGAAATGATAGAATCATGTGTTCGCCACTTGGAAGTGGGTCGATTGGATCACGAAAAGGATTTTGATTTTCAGGTGCAAGTGTAGACTGTCTTGTTCTCACCGTCCTTGGCTCTTATACTTACCTGTTCTTTAAAATGCCACTCCTGTGTTTTCTTGTTACTTTACGCCGATGCACATGTTATTGGCATGTGTAATCCACGATCACATTGGTGAATTTTAAGTTACAGAATTATTAAACTTCAACTCGACGCAGTGAAGTACATGTAGTATTCTCTCAATTATACTTGTTAGAGACGAAACTGGTTTTATGAAATGACAAAGACAAAACCCTTAACGAGAAATAAACTTCTAATAAAAGACGAAATCTTTGACAAACCCTAACAAAAGTAAACCAGAGTAAAGTCAAAAAGAGGAAATGTCGATATTATATGACTAATCTTACAATACTGGATCATTCTACTAGTGCATGTTATGATTATAATCCAACACTTGTTTTATTATAAAACGGTGTTAGATTTAATCATAACATGTACTAGCAAAATAATCCAGTATTGTAGAATAATTTCTTTATATATTGAACACCAGATGTAAGATTAGTTGTGTAATATCAACGTTTCCTCATGTTGGTAAAGTTGTCACTAAAAAAAAAATCTATAAATTATGTTATTATTCACAATATTAATAAATTTATTGTCAATATGAATTCACCAGTTTTCACCTTTTGTCAGTTTCGTAATTTTAGCTTTTAAACCAAAAGCTGAAACATAGTTTTGACTTTCATTAATGATGAAACCTATCCCTTAAATTATTGTAACACAGGCAAATTTGCCTGCAAAGATTTTTACTAATTTTTTTAATATTTAAATTTTTTAATAAAATTTTGA